AGGGGGGAACCTACGTTATAGTAGTACTCCTGAATTTTACATAATTTATTTGGTTGACTATTTTAAGACCTTTTATAAGCAGCCAGACCAATCCGAGGGGCCCAAGCCCCCCAGACGCTTTAAAGGTCAAGAAAAAAGGGGGGAACCTACGTTATAGTAGTACTCCTGAATTTTATATATATTATTTGAGTGACTATTTTCTGATCTTTTGTAAGCAGCCAGCTCAATCCGAAGGGCCTAAGCCCCCCCCAGACGCTTTAAAGCTCAATAAAAAATGGAAAAATCTACGTTATAGTAGTACTTTTGAGTTTTACATATTTTATTTGGGTATTAACACCTTTTATAAGTAGCCAGACCAATCCGAAGGTCCCAAGCCCCCCCTGGCGGTTTAAAGGCCAAGAAAAAATGGGAGAACCTACGTTATAGTAAAACTTCTAAATTTTACATATATTATTTGAGGGACTATTTTATGATCTTTTGTAAGCAGCCAGACCAATCCGAAGGGCCTAAGCCCCCTGAATATTTTATATATTATTATTATATATTTATTATTATATATTTTAAGACTTTTTGTAACTACCCAGACCATTCCAAAGGGCCTAACCTCGCCCAGACACGATAAAAGGTACGCTGTGAGTACGAGAGCAAGGCATGCATGTGAGTGCGAGTGATAGTATTAGATGGCTTTATTAGACAGCTTCATGAAATTTAAGTTGTGTATTTGTCTTTATGGAATTTTTTAATAATGACTTAATAAATTCTTGTTATAAAATTAGTTTTAATTAAATTATTCAAAATTTTAAAAAATTTCAAAATTTCAAAGATTTTCAAAATTTTCAGGATATCCAAAATTTTGAAAATTTCAATTTTTTTAAATATTTTCCAAAATTTTCATAATTCCCACACTAAACTTGTACCAACCAGGATAAACAATGGCACTTAACGGTGTTAAAATAGCCACCCAAATAATATATATACATAATACAATATTACAGCCTATGATATTATAAGGTATACTTTTTATCGTGTCTGAGGGGGGTTAAGCCCTTCGTATTAATCTGGCTGCTTATAAAAAGTCCTAAAATAGTTACCCAAATAATTTATATAAAATTATAAAATTAAGGAGTACCACTATAACGTAGGTTCCCCCCTTTTTCCTTGACCTTTAAAGCGTCTGGGGGGCTTGGGCCCCTCGGATGAGTCTGGCTGCTTATAAAAGGTCTTAAAATAGTCAACAAAATAAATTTGGAAAATTCAGGAGTACTACTATAACGTAGGTTCCCCCTTTTTCCTTGACCTTTAAAGCGTCTGGGGGGGCTTGGGCCCCTTGGATGAGTCTGGCTGCTTATAAAAGGTCTTAAAATAGTCAACAAAATAAACTATGTAAAATTCAGGAGTACTACAAAAACGTAGGTTCCCCCATTTTTTCTTGACCTTTAAAAGGTCTGGGGGGGCTTGGGCCCGTCGGATTGGTCTGGTTGCTTATAAAAAGTCTTAAAATAGTCACCCAAATAAAAAAAGTTAAATTCAGGATTAGTACTATAACGTAGGTTCCTTTGTTTTTTCTCGATCTTTAAAGCGTCTGGGGGGGCTTAGGCCCTTGGATAGGTCTGGCTGATTACAAAAGATCTTAAAATAGCCAATTAAATAGTATATATAAAATTTAGGAGTACTGCTATAACGAAGGTTCCCCCATTTTTTCTTGACCTTTAAAGCGTCTGGGGGGGGCTTGGGCCCCTCGGATTGGTCTGGCTGCTTATAAAAGGTCTTAAAATAGTCACCCAAATAAAATATGTAAAATGCAGGAGTACTACTATAACGTAGGTTTCCCTATTTTTCCTGGACCTTTAAAGCGTCTGGGGGGGCTTGGGCCCCTCGGATTGGTCTGGCTGCTTATAAAAGGTCTTAAAATAGCCAACCAAATAAAATATGTAAAATTCAGGAGTACTACTATAACGTAGGTTCCCCCCTTTTTTCCTTGACCTTTAAAGCGTCTGGGGGGGGGCTTGGGCCCCTCGGATTGGTCTGGCTGCTTATAAAAGGTCTTAAAATAGTCAACCAAATAAAATATGTAAAATTCAGGAGTACTACTATAACGTAGGTTCCCCCCTTTTTTCTTGACCTTTAATGCGTCTGGGGGGGGCTTGGGCCCCTCGGATTGGTCTGGCTGCTTACAAAAGGTCTTAAAATAATCACTCAAAAAATATATGTAAAATTCAGGAGTACTACTATAACGTAGGTTCAGCCCTTTTTTCTTGAGCTTTAAAGCGTCTGGCGGAAGTTACGTCCCCTAGAATGCGTCTGGCAATAATGAATGTTGGTTTTTAATAACAATGTGTAAAACATATATGAAAACCAGCGGTATTACTTTAACGTAGAAAGGTACCTTTTTTATGTACCTTTAGTGCCCGTTATCTGTAAAAGGGCCCCGCTTTCAAGCTAGCAAGTACCCATACGTTTTTAACTACATATTAAGACATTTATTAAAAAAATCTCAGCAGTATTAAAATGACGTAGGTCTGGCAGCTCTGGGATCTTACTCTAAGTCGTTTTCACTTAAATAGTTATTTTTTACTACGTAAACAGTTAAAGTTTGACTAATTTAAGGTTAGTCACCATCTTTGATTATTTCTGAGAGTTAAAAGTAACTAATTTATTTAATCGTTTGCGGCCAACAAAGTATTATTTGAATTTAATGCATGCCTATAGGCTCCATGGTTAAATGTCCCATAAAAACAAACAATGATGCAAAAAGTTTAGCTCAAAACAGCAACACAAATAATATTCAACTTTAAAATATTTATTGACAAATAAAATTAATTTTTATAAGAGCGGCTGATTATTGGTTATGACAACAACTTGACAAGCTTGACAAGTGACAGGCCTGAGTTCAATACCCGGCTTTTTCGCTATGACAATTTGTCAAATATAACTTATAATTAGTTATTTTTGACTGATTCATTTTCAGAGAGTACGTTAGGTGAGACTTAAATGCTAAATATTACCGAATTACTGCCGATACTGCCCATGTACTGCCGAAGTACTGCATGTACTGCCGAAGTACTGCTCCCGTACTGCCTATATTGCCTATTTATAGCTGCATACTGCCGATACTGTCGAAGTATTGCCGTCACTGCCTTTGTACTGCCTTTGTACTGCATAAAATTTGTGCACGTATTGCCGACAGTGGTTGACCCCTCGGTACTACCCTTTCACTTTAAAAGTCCCAAGCAATAATTTAAGTATTTGTTACGTATATGGGACTATTGAAAAAACTTTAAAGTGTTTTGACAGTCGCCGGTCTCTTTATATTAATCTTTCATTACTAAATTACTACTAAAGTGGGGAACAATTATTGAGTTCCAAAAAGGTAGCAAATATGCCACTAGCTATAAACCCTGCTACTATTTGGAACGTAGCTGCTACGTTACTAGAACGTTTCAATATCGTTGCTAGAGCGTTATAATTACTTTTATTTATTTGTTTTTACTTCTATATTAACTGTCTTTGTCAAACTTATATTAGATTATACTATCACTCCTTTTTTAAATCGAACCACTACGGACTTTTCAATGTCGTCGTTTATTAAATATGTAGGTACTTGTATTTTATAACTTCCAGAATAATGTTTAATTAGGCAGGTAAATTTATAAATCCTTTAAATTTTACTGTTGAACTTATGAATTTAGTTTTTGTAAAATAAATGCGCTTCATCAATATTTAAGTATAAACAAATTATTTATTTAATAGTGTTTATAAATAAAAATATCTTAATATTATTAATTTTTTATTTAATTATTAATACCGTCTATTACCAACAAAATTACTATTTATTAAAAAGTAAACAACCATTTACAAACAATTAAAATAATTTATTTATTTAATAAATTATTATTTACATTACCACGTACTGTAAAAAGTGTCCGATAAAAAGCATTTTCCTTTGAAGTAGTTTTCGCTACTTTAAAGTTTTTTTTCTACCTTAATATACTTTACGGTATTTTTGGTTAGTACCATAAACGTTCCAAATACTAAAATAATGACTTTTAAGTTATTAACTTTGTAGTTTTTAACTCATGTTCCAGTTTCGAGATTTTAACTTGCAAAGGGACTACAAAGTAAAAATAATTATAATGTAATATTTAGGTAGAAACCGAATGTAACTGCTAAAAATAAAATTTACTTTAAAGTTTTTTTTACACCTTTTTTAAAGTTGCAAAGTCTTCTTGGGCGCAACCAAGTTTTACTTAAATGTTTATTACTTTATAGTAACCATTTAAGGAAAGAATGAAGTTTCTGTTGCTATTTAAAAGTTAGAATTACTTTTAAGTAAAAAGTAGCTGTTTAGTATACTTAACTAATTTAAAGTTATCACCACTTTGGTAAAGGTTTATGGAACCAAAAATGCTTCTTGGGGTATTTGGGATTTTTTTCCAGGCGAAGAGGATGTTTTTTTACTTGGAGTTGGTTTTTGTTTAAAAACCTGACGTAAATTGAAAGCATCAAAAACCCGAGCAAAAACTTTAGGAAAGCTATAATCTGATTTAAATTTTGTAGACCTAGGTAGGAATTATTACACAGCTTTAAAACTTGGATTGAATCGGTAAGATTTTGAATAGTACAAGTGGAAAATTTTGACCAATTATTTCATAAAATCAGTTTTATAGTTCAAAATGCATTTTGTGATAATATTTCAACTATTTTATAAAATATAATAATCATATTTTATAAAATAATTTGTATATTCTCACAAAAATGCATTTTAAACTTTTAAATTAACTTTAGAAAATGATTTGTAAAAATATTTTTTTTTTACTTGTACTGTTCTTCTCGCCGATTCAATTGTTAAAATGCAAAACAATGTAGGTACTAATTATAACTATAATATATTATATATTATATTATTTATATTTTTTTGATTAATAAAAGAAAAAAATAGTTTAATTTGTAATAAAATCTTTTTGGAATTCACTTAAATAAGATTATTTTTGTTCACATAGGAAATAAATCAAAACTTATACGTGAAATTCACGAATGCAAGGGCATAATACTAACGACATATCTGGGAATTTTAAAATACAAAGGAAACCTAATAGAACACAATTGGCACTATTTAATACTCGATGAAGGCCACAAAATACGAAATCCGGGGGCAAAAATAAGCGTTGCAGTAAAACAAATACGAACGCCGTATCGTTTGATGTTGACCGGCAGTCCGATGCAAAATAACTTGACCGAATTGTGGAGTTTGTTTGACTTTACCAATCCCGGAATGTTGGGAAATTTGCAGGTTTTTACGGAACATTTTGCCAATCCTATTTTGCATGGGGGCTTCGCAAATGCTACACCAATGCAGGTAAGATATATTAACCATTTTACGGGTTTTAAAAATTCTTAAAAATTATACCCATGATTATACTCACGATTTTAACAAAAATTGTTAACAAAAACAAGGCATCACTTATTAAGTATATTTGCCCCATTATTTTATTCACAAACATCTTTAGATTCAAAAATTGTTTGCTTTTTTGTTTTTATAATTTTTAAAGATGTGGAATTGTAATTTTAGGAAGCCACTGCCTTATCAGTGGCATTAACTCTAAAAAACGTCATAGATCCTTATTTACTAAGAAGAACAAAAGCCGAAGTCCAACATCACATTTTGCTTCCAAACAAAAGCGAACAAGTTCTTTTTTGCTCCCTTACAAAAGAACAAAAGGACCTTTATAAAGGATATTTAATGGTAAAATATACTAAATTTAAAAAAAATTGCGTCCCTAATATATTTTTATAGAGCGAACAAGTTAATTCTATATTAGGAAGAGGTGTACAAAAATGGTATTCTGATAAGTACTTAAGAGGGAGCGTATTGGTAGCTATTACAACTCTAAGGAAAATTTGTAATCATCCTGACCTTTATTTGTATGACACGGAGGATTATAATCAGGTAAAAAAAAAGAATTATAAATAACACATTTCTACAAAATTTAACCACCCTTCTATTATTGTATCCGAAAGTTTTTGATGCACTAAATTCAAATTCTACATTCGAATTGCTTCATGACATTAGGTTTTTGAGAAATTCCAATCCAAAAGTCTTACATCACAAAATATTTTTTCTCCCCAAAACTTATTATGCCATCTAAAAGTACTATTTTTCTTCTTTAAAATCCCAAATTTTTACAATATTTTCCTTCCGAGAAATCCATTGTTTAAATTTATTATGGAAACAATGAGCCATATTTTTTACGCAAATCAAACTCATACATTTTAAATGGTTTCTTGAAGAGTAGAAAGGATATTGAAAAAATTCAAAAAGAAATTGTAAGAGGAAGAGTAGTTTTTTCAGATAATTTCTCGAAAACCTGATGCGAAAAAGCAATTCTGGTGACGAATTTGGGGTCAAGACATCAAAAAATTTTGTATGCATGTGCAATTATTAATGCTTTTGATAGGATGTGGAAAACACTCCAGTAGAAGAAAAGTTTGGGTTCTACAAGCGATCGGGAAAAATGGTTGTGGTGTCGGCCCTGTTGAAAATATGGAAGAAACAAAAACACAGAGTGCTTTTGTTTACTCAAGGTCGCGCTATGATTACGATTTTTCAGGAATTTTTAGAACAACATGGGTATACATATGTAAAAATGGATGGAAGCACATCAATAAGCACTCGCCAGCCTCTCATAGACAAATTTAACAACGTAAAGTTTGTTAAGAAAATATTTTTGGTTTTACTTTTTGAATTTTTACAGGATGATTCGATTGATGTATTTCTTTCCACAACAAGGGTTGGTGGGTTAGGTGTAAATTTAACAGGTGCAGATAGAGTTATTATCTACGATCCTGATTGGAATCCTGCTACAGACACACAAGCAAGAGAAAGAGCCTGGAGGATTGGCCAGGATAAGCAGGTTACAGTATACAGATTGGTTTCAGCAGGAACTATAGAGGAAAAAGTAAATATATATTTTTTTTTAATGCAAAATATTTATTGAATAATATTTAAGATGTATCAAAGACAAGTATGGAAACAACTTCTCAGCAACAAGATATTAATTGACCCGAAAACGCATAGATTTTTTAAATCTTCCGATCTCTACGATTTATTTTCCCTTCAGGAATCGCCTGAGAATAACGAAACAGCAAATATTTTCCACGATTCCAGGGTGAAGATCCAGGAGAGAATTCAGAATGAAACGAAAACAAAAAGAAATAAAAAGAAGTCAATGGAAGTCCCAACAGAAGATCTGAAATTCACTGATGATAAAATACAAGCTATGAAGGATTTGGCAAAGAAAATCTCTGCAGGTATGACAGGGAAAAAAGAGGAAGTTAAGAAGACCGGTTATCAAAAAGAGCTGGATGAAGAAAGACAGAAAAAATTAAAAGAGAAAGCGGAGCTAAAGAAATTAACACCAATGGAATTGATTATTTACAACAGAAAAAAGGCTGAGCAAAAACAGCAAGAAGCTTTAAATAAAATTGATGACTTGGATACTAATGCGAGTTTTTCCAAAGCTTTGGAGTTTTCTGAGAAAACATCAAAATTGTATCATGATTTAACTTTAAAGAAAATCAAAGAAATTGATGTAAAAAATAATGAAGAAGAAAAAAAGGCCGAAAAACCTGAGAAGATTAAAAGGAAAAGATCTGAAAGTGAAGACGAAGAAAATCCAAGGAAGAAACATAAAAAGAAAAGTAAGGATAAATCTAAAAATGTCATTGTTGATACGTCAAGAAAAGTGGATGGGGAAGAAATTGAAGGACTTGTTAAAAGTGAAATCACAAAGAAAAAGAAGAAAGAGATGGAAAAGTCCAGAAAAGAAGACAACTTTGTTTTAGAGAAACTATTTTCCAAAAAAGGTATAAGTATTCCAAAATTAAAAAAAATAATTTCTAAAAAACTTTTTTTAGGTGTATCTGGAGCCTTAGAGCATGACACAATAATGCAAGGTAAGAGGCCTGAAAACTCCCTTAGAATTCATACAGAGGCCAAAAATAGAGCCACAAAATCACTGGAGGCTCTAAGAAAATCTAGAGTAGATAATTGGAGATGGTGAAAATATTTTTTTGTTTATATTTTTTTAACTTTTATATCCGTGTTACTTTTTATCGAGAAAAGTATTAATGTTTATTCATTGTTAAAATGTATAACTTTTTTATGTTTATAAAATAAATATATTTAACTGAGTTTTGACCATTATTTTACTTTACCATTAAAGCTAGTAAGTATACCTCATATGGTCAATTACAAATCCTTAAAAAATCGCTGCTATTATGACAAGAAAAAAGAATGAAGTTTAAAGACTGGTTATCAAAAAGAACTAGAGGAAGAAAGACTGAAAAAAATAAAATTGATGACTTAAATACTAATATAAGTTCTTCCAAAGCCCTGGAATATTTTTTGAAAACTCTTTGTTAAAAATATTCTTCTTTTATTAGGCTATAAAACTAAATAAAAAAAACGCAAGAAATATTTTATAAAAGTAGAGATAATTTTAATAATTGACAGGTGTGGACTGGACAAGATAAATCTTTTTTTATCTCGTCCACACCTTTCAATTATTAAAATATTTCTTGCGTTTTTTTATTTAATGTATGGCCTAATAAAATAAGAATATTTTTGTCAATTTTTATTCCAAAATATTATATAATAAATGATCTACAATTTTTTTTTTTTAATAATTTTGTAATTGAAATAACTGAAATGGCCGCAAAACAAAGTAATTTTAAATCAATTCTTATCTACTTATATTTCTGTTTAAATTCCGATGGAATAAATTTTATTTTAAATTAATGTATACCAGCCTCTTTACGAGCTGTGATTGAATTTGTCGGCATCTAAAAGGTAATCCAAAGTATTGGGCCTGAGCCTAATAGACTGAAGGAAGAGTGACTGTGTTGCGTTGGCCGATTTGTGCTAAGTGATAAATGTATTCGACACACGTCCCAAGTTTTCAGGCAACGTCGCGACGTCTTTCCGTGGCTCACGCCACGACTTCCTTGTCGATGGTGACAAACCTCCAAAGTGTAAGAAAACATATAGATCCAACCAATCCCAATGGAAATCTCACTGGATCAGGGTTAAAGTTGAGAGAATAAACTCGATATATCTAGGGTCTGACTGACTCCGACGCCTCTGAATAATGCAAACTCGATTTTTTATTTAAACTTTCTTTAAATATTTGTCTACCCGCTGCTATTTACTAGTTCAACATTGTTTGATTTACCTTTAAAATGCAGTTTCTACACAAAAGGAAAATTGCTCTTTTAAATCTCTATAATATATATTTATATAATATGTATTTAATTGGTATACCTATAGGTACCTCACAAAAAAAATCCATAGAAAACGTCCAAATTAAAATTCCCAACCCTAAATTTTAGTTTTAAAATACCAGGAAAATATTTTTGTTCTTTTTTTCTCCCTGCATTCCATGTAGACAATTTTTTATCATATAAATGACTGATGGTCCTAAATGAGCATTCAATTGTCTGGAAAAATTTTGATGGGGTCAATTTTTTATCGTTTATGTTTTACGTGCCAATCCTTTAAAGGACTAAAAATTACTCGTTTTTTAGATATTTAAACTACCCAGCAAACAACCGTAATAGTATATTAATGCAGGCTATTATTCACAAGGATGAGGTTTCATCCGAGTGAATAATGCGCATTATTTCGACTCCAATTAAGTTATTGTTTATTATATTTTATTATAACCACACTTTCTCCCGATTTTAAAGAGCATTATAGTCGCCTCTCGTATATATATATATATATATATATATATATATATAAAAAATCTGACATCTGTTAACCTTACTTTTTTCCAATTTAAAACCCGATTGGTTTAAATAACATGTTATTTAAACCAATATTCAATATTCACTGCAGTGAATAGGCAGGTATATTGGTTAGCATTATTTACGAAAAACAAATAATGTCAATAATAAGCAATAGGAGTAGAGAAAGGTTCATTATGGAATGACCCTTTATAAATTTTCCTTTAATGAACTAAAAGCCTTATAAAGGCTAACTCTAATGGAAATTTACATATGAGCTCATATACGACCTTTTAAAAAATCACTCCTAGGAGTGATTTTTTAAAAGGTCGTATTTCCATTTGCAACAATTTTTCAAAAAAATGACTATAACCTTTATAGGTTAGGGCAATATAGATTATTTAAAAAAAAAATTCTGATGAATATTTAATAATACTATACAGACCTGCTGTCATATTTCGCCGTTAATATATGCGTTTTAACCATACCTTTGGGATTTTGTCAAAAAATTACATTCAAGTAAAAATGGAAATAAGGCCTTTTGAAAAATCACTCCTCATATTATTATTTAAATAATTTTTAATGAGTAAGGTGTATCTATTATGGTGGATTAAATGTAGAAGGTATATATTTATAAGATAAGGATATTCCACGATAATCAGAAATTGTTATCCCTACCGTCACAATACAATTTCTGACAGTCGGGATTAAATTTTCCGATTATCGTGGAATATTCGACCCAACAAATATAAACCAACCACATTTAATCCACCATAATATATACTTTACTTATCCATTACAATCATTAATGTATTATCGTGAAATGTAATACTTAAACATTCATAAATTGACAAGAAAAAATACAAAGAAATGGGTTGTAATAAAGACCTGTACATATATGTAAAACATAAACATTTTATTTTAATAGTTATTTACGTGTCAAGCTTTGTAAATGAATCTTTACGGGCGAGCTGGAAGTTTGTGGGGTGAGCTAGCGACGCAGGAGCGAACACCATAATCCAGTGAGTCTAGTAAAGATTAATTGCAAAGCGTGACACGTACAAACTTTTATTTTCACATAACGATTTTCAAATTTAAAATATTAATTAATATGTCAAATGTGACATTTCATTACATAAATTGCTTTTCTACAAGCCTGTAAAACTTTACAGGTCCTTTATACAAGCCCGTAAAACATTACAGGTCTGTTTCCATAATGTATCATTTACATGGATACAAAAGCAACAAAATTAACCTATACCTAATAGTTATTTACGTGTCAAGCTTTGTAAATGAATCTTTACGGGCGAGCTGGAAGTTGAGCCTAGTAAAGATTAATTGCAAAGCTTGACACGTACAAACTTTTATTTTCACCTTTAGATAACGATTTTAAAATTTAAAATTTTAATTAATGTGTCAAATGTGACATTTCATTTCATAAATTGCTTTTCTACAAGCCTGTAAAACTTTACAGGTCTTTTATACAAGCCCGTAAAATATTACAGGTCTGTTCCCATAATCCCGGACAACATTCGTGATATTCATACGAACATCATGTCGTGATTTTCACAAATTTTATTCATACTGATATCATACGGAAGTCACCGCGTGATAAATGAAAATCATACGAACGTCACGTCGTGATTTTCACAAATTTTATTCATACGGACATCATCCGGATGTCACTGCGTGAGAAATGAAAATCATGTCGTGATTTTTTATGCCATCGCTGTTTGCGATTAAGCGATGGCACAAAAAATCATGTCGTGATTTTTTATGCCAACGGTGTTTGGATAATCATTTTTGCGCCACGTTCGTACACTAAGAGAAAAATTATGTTGAATCAACAGTTTTTGCGGTTAAATAAATTTAATATTTTCTTGGATTTAAATTAATTATAGTTAATTTAAATCCAAGAAAATATTGAATGTATTTAACCACAAAAACTGTTGATTCAATATATATGTAGGTATACTTTTTCTCTCAATGTACGAATGTGGCGCAAAAATAAATATCCAAACACCGATGGCATAAAAAATCACGACATGATTTTTTATGCCATCGGTGCACCGACATGTTTGGATATTTATTTTTGCACCACATTCGTACATTGTGAGAAAATGTACGTTAACAATTGAATTAACAGTTTTTGCGGTTAAATACATTTAATATTTTCTTGGATGTAAATTAACTATTAATTTAAATCCAAAAAAATATTGAATGTATTTAATATATCCAAAACCGTCCAGGGTAGACAAGAAAAAATTTTGGAATTAATCAAACTTTTTATGGCCAATAAGATGTAATAATAACAATTCAATATTTCCATGAGGGGTGGGTCAGATAGATAGGGAATAGGGGTTAAAACCACCCTAACTTTTTTTACGTGTCTCATGCTAGGATTTGATGTCAGATTATGAAATTTCGGAATTTTACACACAAAAAAGGTCCTCTTGGTAAACTTTGATATTGTCCACTGTTTTCGCTTAAAATCCATTTAAAAATTACCTAACATAGCATAAAAGATCATAATGAATTCACAAGAGAGAAAAATTCAGAGTAGGCCATGGAACACAGCTGCCATCTTAAGGAAAAATTATTTAAGACAGGTGACAGTTTCATGTAATATCCCAGATAGCAAACGTGAATACGAAATCACGCGTGAGTGAATAATGTGTGCTATATATGATTTCACACGTGAAGTCTTGAACTCGTAATTCACACGTGAGTAGATTATGAATTCATATTATAGTCTCGTGTGATTTAATCGATTTTATTTTAAAATACATGGATTGCATGATTAAAAACTGAACGTTTAAATATAAATAGAATATTAATATTCTAATATCAAAATATTACCTGACGCGCGAATTTTGGAATTATTATTTTAGTTACATTTTTAAAATTCGCACAGCTCCATTGCGCAATTATATTATATAATTATATATTATAATATATTATTATAATTATATATATATATATATTATAGTAATATATATAATTACATAATATATATTGGTTTAAAAGGTCACAATTATATGTTATAGGTACATTAATAATTAATATATGTATATTATATATTAATTAATTAATTAGTTAACCTTAAGGTTATAATTGTAATGTATAACCTATAATTGAGGAGCAATCAACCAAAACCAGATAAATCCATTTTAACTTCTTGAATGATTCATATTTCTTTTAGTCGGATAAATCAATTGGAAAAGTGAATTTCAAGATAAACTTATTATAATAATATATATATTATATACTAATATTAATATTAGTATATAATATAATAATTATTATA